AACCCTCCACCTTAGGTGTACGTGGCTGGCGCCTTAGCCGGTTGAGCTATAGGCGCCGAGCTTTTTTTTTAAGACAGAGCCTCAAGCTATTGCCCTGGGTAGAGTGCTGTGACATTACAGCTCACAGCAACTTCAAACTCCTGGGCTTAAGCGATTCTTTTGCCTCAGCCTCCTGAGTAGCTGAGACTACAGGTGCCCACCACAACGACCGGCTATTTTTTGGTTATAGTTGTCATTGTTTGGCAGTCCCAGGCCGGATTTGAACCAACCAGCTCTCATGTATGTGGCTGGCGCCTTAGCCACTTGAGCTACAGGTGCCACCCAGTGAATGTTTTGTGTCTTTTTTTTTTTGAGATGGAGTCTCACTTTGTTGCCCTCAGTAGAGTGTCATGGCATCACAGCTCACAGCAACCTCCAACCCCTGGGCTTAGGCAATTCTCTTGCCTCAGCCTCCCACGTAGCTGGGACTATAGGCACCAACCACGACGTCCAGCTATTTTTTTGTTGCAGTTTAGCCAGGCCGGTTTGAACCCAACATCCTCGGTATATGGGGCTGGCGCCCTACTCACGGAGTCATAGGCGCCATCTTGTTTTGTGTTATTTTTATGATAATAAAAATACTGATACTTTATATATTTAGTTCACCATTATACTAGGAAGGATGTGTTTTTATTTATGTATGAATATACACTCATCATATATAATATGTATGTATGTGTACACACAGAGGGCACAAGTGAAACAACTACTCATAGATGTTCCTTAACTTACAATGGTAGTACTTTTTGATAAACCCATCATTAAGTTAAAAATATTAGAAGTCAAATATTTCAAAGGTCAAATAAGTCAAAGGTGTACTTAATACACCTGACCAAGCAAACATCATACTTCAGCCTAACCTAACTCAAACATGCTCAGAACACTTACGTTCACCTATTAGGTAAAATCATTAAACACAAAGCCTATTTTATAACAAAGTGCTGAATATCTCATGTAATTTACTGAATACTGTACTGGAAGTGAAAAATAGAAAGGCTGTATGAGTACTTGAAGTATGGTTTTTACTGAACACATATCATTTTTGCACCATTATGAAGTAAAAAAATCTTAAGTTGAGCCATAGTAAAACCATCTGCAGTAGACTTTTTAAGATACCTGCTATTCAGGTAATTTTAATGTTTCTTGGCCAAAGTCCCAAATTCCATATAAATTGACTATATCAGAAAAGGCTGTTAAATACTAAAGAAAACAAAAATTCAAAAATATAAACAATAAAGTAATAAGAAAAATTTTTAAATACCTTTGCTGGGTCACAAGGCCGCCGATTGATAAAGAAAAATTGTCGGTCAGTTGAACTCCTTCCAATGCCATGAGCACATTGTGAAATGAAACCTGAAACACTATTCAAGGTTAATTCAGTAAGGACAGAATTCTGGAATGGAAAGGATTAGAAATGTATCACATGGCACACTCTTTAAATGAAATAAAAATAAAACACCTTGGTGATATGCTGGTAACTATCACTATTCCAGTCTATGTGCATCTGTCCTCCATCTTAATGAATCATGAAAGAACCCAGACCTTCTGGAATGGTCTAGGGCTCCTACAGCCAACAAATCTACCACAGGCAAGTCCATGGGTAAAATGGACTTGTTTCAGGCTTGGCTCAAGTGGCTAAGACGCCGCCACATATACCTGAACTGGAGGGTTCGAATCCACCCAGGCCCACCAAACAACAATGACACCTACAACCAAAAAATAGCCGAGTGTTGTGGCAGGAGCCTGTAGTCCCAGCTTATGTGGGAGGCAGAGGCAGAAGAATCGCTTGAGCCCAGGAGTTGGAGGTTGCTGTGAGCTGTGATGCCATGGCACTCTACCCAGTGCAACAGCTTAAGGCTCTGTCTCAAAAAAAAAAGGACTTGTTTCAGCTCTCCTTTTATCTTTCCTATTGAACCTTTGGCATCCATGTAAGCAATGGGTTTCACTTCAAACACATTCTCAGAGCCTTGGTATTATCCCACTGGTTTGCCAATGGAGTCTAACCCTTATGTTCAGGATCTTTGCCCGCGTCCCCTTCCCTTTTAAAATCTGCTCCCAAAAGGAATTTACTCACATTTACTAACATGGTGATAAAGTGCTTATTCTACATGAGATCACCCCAGGAATATCTGTGAAGAACATCTTAACATAAAGAAATGAAACTCTACCTTTGTAATTTCAGACATAAGACAAAAGAAAGTGGAGTAAGAACAAACACTATGGATCTTTCAAGGCCAAACCTGCTTATGGAAGTGTCTATTTTCTTATACCACAAATGATGATATGAACTGCCTTCATCAAAAAAGTCAATTATACAAAACATAATTTAAAAGTTATTCTAACTAAATAGAGTCTTAAAGACTAACTCAACAGAAAACCCCCTGAAATGCACCAGGTACCCAGAATATTGTTTGAATTAATTAACTGAGTCCTTCTTATAAATCCTCTCCCAGCAGTAATAGCGCCCATTTTCATAAAGAAAATTTTAAAAACTGTAAATCTTAAAATCACTATCTTTTAAAATAAAACTCTCAGGAAAACATGTTCAACTGTAGTTTTCCTGGAAGCAATCTACTTACTAAAACAGATTATGCAGAGCATCAGAACAGCTCAGACCATACTCTTCACAGACGGAGTCACTAGGGGGCAGCTGAACAAAAGGAATGAGGCTTTGCAACTAAAATAGAAACCAAGAATCACAGTTATTTCCTAATGAAGACAGAAAGGACCCAGCAATAGAAAAGAAGACACAATAAGAGTCTTTGTTTATTTTCTTTCCCGGTCAAGCTATCCACGTTAAGAGCACAAAGAACTAAAAGAATCTTTTTAAGTGTTTTAAAGTGTTAAAATAATTTTTATTTTAGACCAGAAAGATGAAAACACTTGAGCTCTTACTTATGCGTAATCAACATACTGCACACAACAATTGAGAGGTTAAGGACCAAAAATGAGAGATTATTCTGAGAAAAGAACAAAAGGAATTAGAGCCCAGGTCTGTGTGGGCAACATGGTCTTTATTCACTTGGGTGCAAGTGGGCTGAATCCAAAAAAGAAGTCAGTACGTGGGTTAAGGCAGATGGGAATGTAAGAGTCTGGAGTGGTAGGGACTGGCACATTCATTCCTTCCTGGGCAGGTCATTCTTTCCTGGGTGGGATGGTTCTATTTGGGCTGTCCCTATATTCGGCCCTATCAGTAATTTATATTTTTTTAAAGGCAGAGTTAAAAGATACAGCATGTTATCCTCTAGAAGAATAAAATAAAAAACTTTCAGCTATCAAAAATTTTTGTTAGGTACTTAAAATTCTATTCTATTGAAAAGGACAACAGAAACCTACCCTAATCACTAGAGCAATAAAATGTGTTTAAGTAACTGGCCACTACTACCTGTTTCTGCCCAAACACAGATCCAATATTTTCCTTTATGCTGGAGCTTCCACTTGTGCATACAACAGGCTGTCGTTTTCCTTGTCCAAGCTGATTGGTGCAACTTATACGGATGCCTGCTGAAATGATACAGTATGCATGTAAGACCTGGACCATTTTGGCATATTCCTGTTTAAAAAACACAAACACAAGACTCTACATTACTTTACTCTTACAGGAATCACATGGTTAAGTTATAAATTAAGCCAATGCAAGGTTCTCCTATCACCTCACAAATAAGGGGAAATATTAGTGACAGAATGAGCTACCTACAAAGAGGCACCTTCCTATATACTATAGCCCAGAGCCTCTGGTTCCTACACATGCTCTTTTCACTTCTAGATGTTCCACGTTCACTGCTATGAAAATCAAGAAGTACATTCCCTTTGACCTTGTAATCCCTCCCCTAGAAATGTACCCTTGTAGAAAGACATGCACAAGCATACAAAGCTTTATTAAAAAAAAAATTCACTGAAACAAGATGTAACTGTGAAAAATCAGAAACTAAGCAACCATCAAGCAAGGAGATGATTAAATTATGATACATCCATATCATGGTGGAACAACAAACAATAAGGTAGTTCACATGGACCAAAGAAGATAATTATAATATCCAAGTTAAAAGTCACACAGCCATACGCATAATAGCATCCTAGTTATTTAAAAACATATAAACATACGTGTAAAGATTGCATATATAGGCTTAGTGCCCGAAGCACAGTGGTTATAGCGCCAGCCACATACACCAAGGCTGGCAGGTTTGAACCCGGCCTAGGCCAGCTAAACAACGACAAATGCAACAAAAAATAGTCAGGTATTGTTGCAGGCACCTGTAGTCTCAGCTACTCGGGAAGCTAAGGCTAGAGAATCACTTGACCCCAAGAGTTTGAGGTTGTTGTGAGCCTATGGCACCATCGCACTCTGCCAAGGGTGACAAAGTGAGACTCTGTCTCAAAAAAAAGAAAAAAAAGACTGCATATATACATACACATTTAAAATCTAAAGGATAGAAAACATACTTGGAGGCAGGCAGAGAAAACTTCAACTTTCAACCATATACAATTCTGTATGATTTGAGTGCTGTACATTCTATATTACTTGCATCATTACATTAATTTTTTAATTTATCTTGAAAATTATTGTAATATTTATAAACACATGAAATTAAAAGGAGCCTGAAGAGGTATACAAACTGTTGATAATAGTCATCTCTGAGAAGCAAAGTTTTATATTCCTATATTTTTCTAAGGTACTAATTTTCTACCACAAGTTGCAAAAAAAGTTTTCTCTATTTTTGTAGAATTGATAATGTGAAAAATTATCACAAACTGCTCTATAAGTAAAAGTTTTTAGCTGCATATGTTTAAGAACTTTTCAGATTCTAAGAACTATATCTATATATATAAAATATACATGTATAAGTAATTATGTTCAAAAAAGAACAATACAAGGAAGACAACAAAAAACATATAAGATATCATATCCAAGGAAAACTACTGATAACATTAAAGCATGTACTCTTTCTTCCAGCCTTTATTCTATGCATATTTAAGAGAGTTGTTTTAATAAAACCATAATCATATAATAGACAGTTTTATAATCTGCTTTTTAAACACAACTATATAACATTTAGCTGTTTCACTTGTGTGCAAATTTGTGAAGATTGTCGTAGTTCATTTCTCAAGGAACCAAGAGAAATAATCTTATAAAAAAATAAAGACAGAATCAAAAATAATATTATTTCTTAAAGGACCCATTTCCCCTATTAGAATACCTAATGAACAACATTTGATGACTCTTTTCTTTCTTTCTTTCCTTTTTAAAAGATAGAGTCTCACTTTGTCACCCTCAGTAGAGTGCCAAGGCTCCAAGGCTCACAGCAACCTCAAACTCTTGGACTTAAGCAATTCTTTTGCCTCAGCCTCCCAAGTAGCTGGGACTACAAGCACCTGCTACAATGTCCAGCTATTGTTAAAGATGAGGTTTTGCTCTGGCTCTAGCTCAGGCATCTACCCATCTCGGCCTCATAGAGTGCTAGGATTACATACATGAGCCACTGAGCCTGGCCTTGATGACTCTTTTCAAGAAAAGAAAAAAGGCAAGGGAAGAAGCAAACAAAACATTTCTCAAAAAATTACAGGAAAATAACCAACTAAAGAGCATCTTTGGTAAATTTTTTTTTTTTTTTGGAGATAGAGTCTCATTCTATCGCCCTCGGTAGAGTGCTGTGGCGTCATACTGCTCACAGCAACCTCCAACTCCTGGGCTTAGGCAATTCTCTTGCCTCAGCCTCCCAAGTAGCTGAGGCACCCACCACAACGCCTGGCTATTTTTTGTTGCAGTTCAGCCAGGGCTGGGTATGAACCCGCCACCCTCGGTAAATGGGGCCGGCGCTCTACCCACTGAACCACAGGCGCTGCCCGGTAAATTTTTTATTCATATATATTATCAATACTATTAAAAACTGGGATTGTAAATTTATTGTACCTTTTTAATATTCCTTTGAAATTCCTTATGGCGCACTGGTAGTGTATAAAAGAGCTGCTGCACACTGACTGTTGTCCCCCTGGGTCGTGGGTAAGGGGTTTTCTGGACAATTTTCCCATTGTGATCAAACATCAGTCGAGTTCCAACCTTTGCAGATGTATGGCAGGTAGAAATAGTTACATCACTGTAAGAAAAAGCAAGGAATGGTATGTTTAGTTAGAGACTGAAAACTTTCTTTAAAAAACTTTACCCACTGAGGTAATCAACATTTAAGTGGATGAGAATAGTGAAACAGGGAGTTTCAATAAATGCTTTGTTATGATAAAAGCTTTAATTTCATTGTTTAGGTTGAACTACAAAATAAAGAATCTCAAAATGTATTCCCAAATAGAGATTTATTTATCAGATTTGTCACTACCATTCTAACACTTTTTAAAAAAGAATCCAAAAGATATAATAATTCAAATGTATAAGTAATTATAAAAATCAGAATCTTTGCTATAATTAAATGCATACTTTGGGTTTTTTCCTTAAAAATTGAAAATAAATTAAAACCAATGGTACCTATCGTTTATTATTTACATTAAAATTGAGAAATTAGGCTCAGCGCCTGTGGCTCAAGTGGCTAAGGCGCCAGCCACATACACCTAAGGTGGTGGGTTCAAATCCAGCCCAGGCCTGCCAAACAACAATGACGGCTGCACCCAAAAAATAGCCAGGCGTTGTGGTGGGCACCTGTGGTCACAGCTACTTGGGAGGCGGAGGCAGGAGACTCGCTTGAGCCCAGGAGTTGGAGGTTGCTGTGAGCTGTGATGCCAGGGGACAGATTGAGGCTCTATCTCCAAAAAAAAAAAAAAAAAAATTGAGAAATTACTGATTTACAATACTATTTGCTTCATTTTATTCATTTATTGCTCACATTTCAGAAGTATTATCACTTAGACTGGCAGTAAGATAACAAATCAGAAGTCAGAAGCTAAGACACTGAGATAGGAAAATGTAAGTAATAATGGCTCTAATCATTATTTGACTTTTTAATTTTCAGAGAGGTTTTCAATCAAGGTCAAGTTAATGGATAAAAACATTGTATTACCTCAGTGCGCAGAGGGAACTCAGAGCTTCCCCCCGAAAGCCAAAAGTTTCAACCTGAGTTAGGTCAGCAAACTCTTGAATCTTAGAAGTATGATGTTTCAGAGCTAAAAGAGAGTATAAACGAAGGCCCAAGATATATACAGTGAATATATCACAGTGAATATACACAGTGAATATACACAATACCTCGCAGTGAATATACACAATACCTTCCAAAGTAACTGGTTTTTAAAAACTGTCTTTGTGTTTTCTAAATCAGTATTATTCAAAATTCTGAGACACTTGGCCCAACTATTTTATGATATAATCGAAAAAATTCAACTTACTTAAGCCTTCGAAGTTTTCTTCTTCTACTCCACATCCATTGTCTGAAACTTCAACGAGATCCACCCCATAGTCTTTAAGTCTTACATCTAAAAAGTTTAAAATATTTATGTATTTCTCAAAGATTGGTCCATACTAAAAGCTTTTATATTGACATTATTTAAAATAAATAATGCAAATCTAAGAGCCATGACTACATTTTTAGTTAAATGTACTATTGTTATTTTGTATGTTTCATCTTAAAAGTCCTTTTTGGCTATTTAGTAGCCTAGATTAAACAGTTCTATTTTTTCTTTCTTTAGAAAGGAATAATTTTAACACAGTCATTAAAGAAAACAGGCCATGGAATCAGACTTTCTGGATATTTAACTAGCTTTATAACCTCAAAAAAAAGTAAATTCCCTGTCCTTTAATTTCTTCATCTGTAAAATAGAGATAATTATAATAATTCCTATCTCACATAGTTATTCTGCAAATTACATGATATTCCATGTATAATAATTAGCACAATGCCTGCTAAGTAAAAACACAATAAAAGTTAGCTGCTATTATTATTACTACCTAAATACGAGGCACATATTATGCAATAGGTGCTAACTTGAACTAAAATATAGTAACTTAATGGTATACCAACACTTAATTGTCTTATTACAGTAATGATTTTTTCCTGAATAAGATAACTGATTATCTCTCATGGTGTTATACTCTCCCAAACTTACCAACATTAGTGGCACCAGCATCCACACTATTTTCTACCAACTCCTTCACAGCAGTGCTTAGACTCAGTACCACCTGCCCAGAACAAATTTGATGAACTGACTTCTGATCAATAGGTTTGATGGCCTTAGCAGGTTCTGTACTAAAAAAATCAGTTTTACAAGACACAAAGCAAATATTCAGTTATGTTCTTTCATTCTGACTCTAAATGTGGGAAATGACTCATCACTTTTAATAACTTATTTGTCCAATCTATTCATTTATTACATGAACATAGCTCTTTATAATGTCATAAATATAAACATTGTTCTACATACAATCTTTAAAGACCTGTCAAAAATACTTCTGAATAGATACTTCAAATTCAATAGATATTTAATATCTAGTTATATTGGCATCTATATGGAGACACACTGTATCCCTCAAGCTACCATAATCTTTTGCAACAATAGATCTCCTTTCTTGCAAATTGAAAGCAATATTTCCTTTTTTTTTTTTGAGACAAAGTCTCACTTGGTCACCCTTGGTAGACTGCCGTGGCCTTAACTCACAGCAACTTCAAACTCTTGGGTTCAAGTGATCCTCTTGCCTCAGCCTCCCAAGTAGCTGGGACTACAGGTGCCCACCACAATGCCTGGCTATTTTTTAGAGATAGGGTCTCACTCTGCCTCAGGCTGGTCTCGAACCTGTAAGCTCAGGCAATCTACCTGCCTCGGCCTCCCAAGTGCTGGGATTACAGGCATGAGCCACTGCATCTTCCCCAAAGCAACATTTCTTACATAATTTGAAAAACCAAGAATATGCTGGGAAATACAGTGTTCATGTCAAAGCCATCTCAGAAGTGAGGTACCAGATGCATGATAGCTACTCCCATACTGTACATAGTTGCCTTGGAAAGCCCACTCTAAATCCCAGCTGCTAATCACTACTTTAGTAAAGACTCTCAAAAGTTCCCACTGTACTAGCTTTAAGAGTTTTACAACTATTTTGTCCCCACTTTCTCCTACTCTGTCATTCTCCATGCTACTATTAGAATTATTTCTGAAATCACAAATCTCGTCAAGTACTTTTTCTGTTTAAAAAATTTACTAGCTGCAAGGGTACAAGTGAATCTTTCTATGAGTAGAATATGAATGTTTTGACATAATAACTAAGAAAGTTACATGAAGGCTATGTTAACCAGTTTGATGGAAGTGTCTTGGATTGTGTATGAAAACACCACACTGTACCCCCAAAGTGCATCAATGTACACAGTTACCATTCAATAAAAAAAAAAAAATTACCAATGCCCCAATGCCTGCCATATGAAGTTTAAAATCTAGTCAATACTGGGCCCCTTCTAATCCTTTTCCCTTCACCAAGTCCCCTATATTTTAGTCACAGTGAACAACTGTTTGCTGAATATCACAAGCTCTTTTAGACATTGAGCTTTGTCTAAGCTAGTCTCTCTGTCTAAACTGTTCCCTTCTTCCTCCAGTTCCACATGTTCATTAATTCAGCTATTTCCACTAAACATTTGGTTTTATTGATACCTTGGGTATAACAGAATGCAAGAACTTCCTTGGAAGAGAATTTGGGGGGTATTTCCCACAGCACCTAAAGCATAGGAGACGACCCTCGATAAACCCTTGTGAAATAAAGGAACAAACTTTTTTGAAAGAGACAGAGTCTCACTTTATCGCCCTCGGCAGAGTGCCACGGCGTCACAGCTCACAAGCAGCCTCCAGCTCTTGGGCTTGGGCGATTCTCTTGCCTCAGCCTCCCGAGTAGCTGAGACTACAGGCGCCCACCACAACGCCTGGCTACGTTTTTGTTGTTGTTGTTGTTGTTGTTGTTGTTGCAGTTTGGCCGGGCCCGGGTTCGAACCCGCCCCCCTCGGTATAAGGGGCCAGCGCCCTACTCACTGAGCCACAGGCCCCGCCCAGGAACAACCGCGTTTACTCTCACATTCTACTTTGCTAACAATCACACTTGTTTGTCTATAGCGCGAAACTGTGGATGACATCACATAGCATGGAATGCATCTCTAAAAATTTGTGTATTTGGCAACACACCATAATAGCCTACAGGTCCATTTCTGGTGTTTATTTTGAGGAGGGGGTGCTACAATTAAATACGGACAGCAAATTTCTATTTACGAATGTGACATTAAACACGATAGTGTAGGCCGGAGTCGCTACCCCGGAGACAGTGGCATAGCAGCCAAAAATCACATACCGGAGGAGATATATAATAAGCACTGCATTTTAAACAAACCGTTCGGGTATGCAAATTAGGATGTGCCTTGAAGCTCCCTCCTCCCCAAAGTAACTTCAGTTTTTAAAGAGAGAAATCAGGTAAAACGGAAACGGATTCAGTCTACGCTCCGGCTTCAAGTCCACAGCTTTGTAACGGCGTCTGGGCAGGGTATGCCTGGGAGAGGGCCGAATTCAAATCCTCCAAGTGGCGATTGCCGCCGCCTGCCCAAGAAGCGGAGAGGGGACCGACCGTGGCCTTAAAGCGCACCCAAAGGGCACCGAGTCAGAGGAGCGCTAAGAACGCCGCTCCAAGGCTTAACGCCGCGGGCTCGCCACGCTCCTCGGTCACTTTCCCCTCCTTTCCACAGGGCTGGAATGCCACAGGGCTTAGAAAGGGCGATCGCCAGGGTACACCGCAAGCCCAGCTCACCTCTCAACCTCCGCTCGCTCCATAGATGCAGATTCCAATCCGCCTCAGAGACTGCGAGGAGCTCCCGCCGTAACTCCCACAGGAGGCCCCACCTCCCTGGCGCCCATTGGCTATTTTCCACGATTTGCCCCGCCCCTTCCGGGCGGGGTGGCAAATACTTCCCATCACTTCGTCTCACTTATTGGCTCTGTCAAAGGTCGTCCGTGGCGTTCAGAGAGCCCAGGCGAATTAGAGGGCACAGACTGCGTTTTACCAAACGCCGCCAGCAGGATCGGTGAGGAGGTGGCTGTAACCGGTCGTTGCCTAGTACGGTTTCTCGGCGTTCCTCTCAGTCAGGCGCCACCTTTAATTTGGGTCTGCGATGCCGATGTACCAGGTAAAGCCCTATCACGAGGGCGGCGCATCCCTCCGTGTAGAGCTTCCCACCTGCATGTACCGGCTCCCCAATGTACACGGCAGAAGCGGCGGCCCGGCGCCCGACACGGGCCACGTGCAGGTAGGAATGCGCGGCCCATGCCCAGTGCGCAGGCGCGGAGGGCGGCCACTGCCGGATTTCATTACCCCCGCTCCCCTACCCGGGCGGGTGGATCCCCTATACCCGGTACACTACTAACAGCCAGCCCCACTCTGGCCGGTGTGCCAGCCAGCCCGCGAGTCACCCCAACTTTTGTCTATTAAAATGTCTCTTTTTCTTTTTGTTGCCTATGGCCGCTTAAGCTTTTTTATTAGGAAAGTTTACCCTTGAAAAGTGATTAGCATATAAATGTTTGCTTTGAGGAATTACTGAGCGAACCCGAGAGTTACTACCACCCAGGTTGACATACATCGTCACCGCCCTACCCTTCCCGCTTATAACTTTCTCCCAAAGGTCTTGACTTTTATAATGATGTCTGCATTATGTTGCCAACTAAATAGGCATCCCGAAACAATATAGTCTTGATATAGCACGTGGTATGTGTTCTGTTGTGTCTGGCATCTTTTTTGAAGACATTATTTTGAGAGGTATTTTGTTGCTGGTAACAACAGAGTTTTCATCTTCTCGGTAGTGTAGTGCTCCGTTGCAAGACTCTACCACGATTACTTAGCCATCCGACTGCCCATGGACACCGGATTGTTTTCTCTTTTCTGCTGTTATGAATACTTCTGCAATGAATTTTATACTAGAGCGAGTATAGTGCGTATACACGTATAGAGCGAGTATACACTAAGAAATGGGATTGATGGCTTGGGCAGGTCTATCTTCCACTTACTAAATATTATTTTCCAAAATGGTTATACTGGTTTCTGCTCTCACCTTCCGTGTATGAGAATTCCTGATGCTTGTACCGTTCCCTGATGGGTGGGTGGTTTTAGTTAAGTTGAAGACCTTTTCATGTTTACTAGCTTTTGATTGCTCTTTTGTGACTTTATCTGCTCAAGTCTTTCACTTTTTTTATCAATTGCAAATAAACATGTTAGGTTTCCAGCAGTAGAAAGGTATGTCCATTCTGTCAGAAAATTGGTGAATAGATAACTTTTGTGATCCATTTTCCCCCTGTCTGTTATCCTTCAATTTGTCTATTGAGCCATTAGGTTTTTTGCCTATATTGGAAGGGAGGGAGGAAGGTTAGTTTGAAACCAAATGTTATCCCACTACAGAGCTAAGACAAAAAATAGCACATGTGGGGCAGCTCCTGTGGCTCAGTGGGTAAGGCGCCAGCCCCATATACCTAGGGTGGTGGGTTCAAACCCAGCCCCAGCCAAACTGCAACAAAAAATAGCCTGGCATTGTAGTGGACGCCTGTAGTCCCAGCTACTCGGGAGGCTGAGGCAAGAGAATCGCCTAAGCCCAGGTGGTAAGGTTGCTGTGAGCTGTGTGACGCCACAGCACTCTACCGAGGGGTTAATAAGTAAAACTCTGTCTCCAAAAAAAAAATAGCAGATGTGGTTCAGTGGGCCAACTGCAGACTATCATGGAATCTTGGCCCAGTACCTCTTCAACTGCCCAGTCCCTAGAAACCAAAAAGAAAACCCAGAATGGAGAATGTCACTTCTCTTTTAAGACCTAGTTTGGGGAGTTTTGGTTTGCTTATTTTTAAATATGTTGCCTCACTTCCCTTGAGTTTTTATCTGTGAACTGCTAATTCAGAAAAGACACAATCCCACTCTAGCAATTTCTCTAGCAGAATATAATTCGGATAGACAAGTAGAGTAGATCCTCTGTAAGTTGACCACCCAAGAGCTGTAACAAATTGGTCAACATGTAGCGGTGGTCAACATGAACTAGGCCTACTTCACTGATATGTACATGTGGTGCTATGTCCAGTTTATGAAAATTAGGTCAACTTGAGGTGGTTAGTGAAGGGAGGTGGAAGTTCTACCAGAATTAGAAATCTGGCATTTCTGGGGTAAATGAGAAAAACCAAAAGAATAAGCTATATCTAAATATACATAAATTAAACACAATATACCAAATCATAATCTAGTCTCAGCAAGGAAAATCAGAAGGTACTAATAGGTAGAGCAGATCTTGTGCATTTTAGTGTTACTCAGCTCACTCAGCTGCACTCATAAATCAGAGGCCATGTTGTGGGTGCAGTACTTAAGACATTCTTTAGTACTGACTGAGTTTTAAATCCAGTAGGTGCTTTTCTGGCCTTAGTGGGGCAGATACCATACTGCCATTGGTAGAAAATGAGCAAGATTGTGCACACATAGTGTACAGGTTGATTAAAATAGATTAGAAACATTACTCAGAAGGACTATCACTGACTAACAGAATGTTACACAGGTGGTATCTCTGCCTGTCATGCATCATGGGCTTCAGGCTTATTTCCTGTTGGCACCTAATTATATCATTGGCATTCTAAACTCTATTCTTCCTTGTTCCACCCAGAAGCCAGTGAACTTACAGTTCTTAAGAGCAGCAGACACAGAAGAGGAGTAAATAAAAGTTAACCAGACAAATGAAGAGGGAAGAATGTTGCAGATAGAGGAAATAACACATGTAAAACTCCTGTGATAGGTGGGAGTGTAGTCTTTTTAGGAACTCACAGGACAGTGTGGCTGGAGTGCATAGCAAAAAAGGAATTGTGTGAGGTGAGGCAACCAAGGCCCAAATCATACAAAATATTTATTAAGCCACATTGAGGATTTAACTTTTTATTTAAGAGCCTAAGAGGTTAGCAAGGGAGGATAGTGGTGACAGATTTGAGTTTGTTTTTTAAAATCTCTGCAGCTGCCATCTTATGGGATAGATTTGGAGGGGGTTGACCAGAATGCATGAGTGCAAGGTGACCAGTTAGAAAATAGGCCAGGTGAAAAATGCTGGCTTGGCCTTAATCAATGACAGTGCAGGCTTGCTTAGAAATGAACACAAATTGTACTTTATTATTAATCCAGTGGATTCCAAAAATATTTAGGAGGTAAAATTGACAAACAGTTGGATATGCACACGAGGAAGGTGTAATGAGTGAATAGTGAAGAAACTGGTGTTCTAGGAACATTGAGCTTGCCTGCACACAAAGGAGAGCAAGGACTTATTCTCTACTCCCATTGTATGATGGGTGCACACTTACAGTAAACTCAAGGGCACAGCCTATTCTGTCCTAAGCATTTTCCACATACTTACTGTAGTCTTTGTTCTCTCAGCCCAAAATGATTGTCTGTTCTGTTATTATACAATGTGAATTTATTGAGAAGTTTCTTGTTAATTTTTTTTTTTTACTTCAAGTTGCTGTTTTAGACTTGCATTGCTTTTTTTTCCTTTTTAGAGACAGAGTCTCACTTTATTGCCCTGAGTAGAGTGCCATGGGGAGTCTCACTTTATTGCCCTAGGGAGAGTTCAGTGGCATCACAGCTCACAGCAACCTCCAACTCCTGGGCTTAGGCGATTCTCTTGCCTCCACCTCCCGAGTAGCTGGGACTACAGGCGCCCGCCACAATGCCCGGCTATTTTTTGTTGCAGTTTGGCCGGGGCCAGGTTTGAACCTGCCACCCTTGGTATATGAGGCCAGCGCCATACCCACTGAGCCACAGGCACCGCCCCTTGTTACTACTTTTTAAAGTATATGGAGTTTGGAGATTTTCTTTAATCCACAAATGCTATTGGTTCTTCAGTATGTACCAGATACTATGCTAGGTGACAAGGATGAACAGATTCAGTAAATAAACAATGTAAATGTTCCCCATTCATGAAATTACGCACTTCAGCAGTGAAAAAGTTCTAGATGTTGCTAAGATCTGAGATTTAGTACTTCCTTGAAAATGACTTGGAGAATTGATCTTTTGGCCCCATGAGCAGGCTTCCATACCAAAGGAAACTTTGTTTTTAACCTTGTCTGTGCTCCATTTTCCCTTCTAGTTGTATAAAATACTGAGTTACATCCCATCCTCCCCATCTTCACTACATGTTTAAGCAAAGTGTTTGAATTAGTTTATTAATAATAAAGTATAATTTATGTTCATTTTCTACCTTTTCCTGCTCTTAAATTACCTGAAATGGGAATCATACAGTTTCAAGGTGGCTTTCATTCATGTTTTTTGTTTGTTTTCAAGCATTTGTGGATCAATTTTCAGAGTCATACTGGATTATGGGGAAAATGAAGTGATTCTGCTCCTTCATTTTAGTAGCTTTTAAAGGATGGGGGGTTTGGTGAGTGCATAGAGCAAAGTAAGCCAGGTGATCAAATTTAAACAGACTATTTTGATGTAAGAGAAAATGAACACTTGGGTGTTGGTTTGTTTAGGAGGAGTCTGACCCATCTCTGCAAGCTCTAGAGTCTCGCCAAGATGATATTTTAAAACGTTTATATGAGTTGAAAGCTGCAGTTGATGGTCTTTCCAAGATGATTCAAACACCAGATGCAGACTTGGATGTAACCAACATAATCCAAGCCGATGAGCCCACTGCTTTAGCAACCAATGCACTGGACTTGAATTTAGTGTTGGGAAAGGTAAGTTTGTTTTGAAAGCTGAGAAATGTTAGTGTGTTGGGTTCTTGGTAGTGTAAAATAAATGTGCTAAAAATTGTGATTAAAGCATTCCCTTTCTGGCTTTCAAAGGTAGAGCGAAGAGCATACTTTTTCTCCACTAAATGACTGTGCTTTTGCACAGAACAGATTCATGAGGTGTGAGTAAAGCCAAAATAAGCTCTAAGTCTAAAGCTCCTTTTGACTTCTCAGACCAAGTGGAGAACAGGGAGGATATGCAGGCAGAGAGGGAGTCAAGAAAAGTCACAGCCTCTGCCATTCTGGGCATGGTTCCAGCAACCTCTGAGTCTGGAGGAACTGATCTCAGCTTGTTTGCTCAGTGCTTCTCAGACTGTTCAGCAGAGGCAACCCTGACTCTTTTTTAAGATTAGCCCAACTTTGAGAACCTTGGCTGCCCAAGCACTGAAGTGTGAAATATATTGCTACAGTTGGTCACAGTCTCATACTTCAAATGCATTTTGCTTACTCAGCTGTATTAAAAATTGCATCAGCAGTTTTCATGATTGAAATTTAGGGTTCAGCTAATTTAGGGGACAAGTGGTATATAAAAAAGAAATGTCTTATTTCTTACAGAGTGGTATCTGAGAGTTCAAAAGGATTTGTCTCAAGAATCTCTAATACCACTCACGCCTGTAATCCTAGGACTCTGGGAGGCTGAGGCGGGTGAATTGCTTGAGCTCACAGGTTCGAGACCAGCCTGAGCCAGAGCGAGACCTCATTTCTAAAAAATAGCCGGTCCCAGCTATGCAGTAGGCTGAAGCAAGAGAATCACTTAAGCCAAAGAGTTTGAGGTTGCTGTGAGCTATGACACCATGGTACTCTACCAAGAGTGAAAAAGTCCCTCTGTCTAAAAATAAAAAAAAGAAGAATCTCTAACATCCTCCTCAAGAATTGACAGGGAGGCTCAGCACCTGTAGCACAGTGGTTACAGCGCCAGCCACATACACTGAAGTTGGTGGGTTTAAACCCAGCTTGGGTCATTTAAGCAACAATGACAACTACAACAAAAAAATAGCCGGTAGTCCCAGCTACTTGGGAGACTGAGGCAGGAGAATCACTTGATTCTAAGAGTTTGAAGTTGCTGTGAGCTGTGACATAACGGCACTCTACCAAGGGCAATATAGTGAGACTGTGTCTCAAAAAAAAAAAAAAAAAAAAAAAGGATATGGAATTCCTAAAGACCTAAAAAGCAACAACACTGCAGTATCTCACCCAGCCTCCCTTTTTGGTAACCTCAGTACCCCTGTCTTTGTATATTCCTTCTCCTGCTCATCCATTCATTTGGTTCTGTTGTATGCACTGAGGACTCAGATGAAAACCAACCAGGTCCCCAGAGAGCTAGAGTCCAGTGCAGGTGTCCTCAGACTATGGCCTGTGGGCCACATGCAGCCTGCCTAGGACATTTATCCGGCCCGCCAAGTGTTTTTACCGCTGCTGCCTGTCCTGCTTAGCAGCCGACTCGTCCCAAGGTCTGCAGTCCGGCCCTCCAGTGGTCTGAGGGACAGTGAACTGGCCCCCTGTTTAAAAAGTTTGAGGACCCCTGATCTAGTGGGTAGGTTGGTGAGCACATAGTGATGGGGATTTCTTAGGGTGCTGGGAAGGCTTCTCAGAACACAGTGCTCAATCTGAAAATTGATGCCTCTGAAGGCACAGAGTATAAAGTAACACAGTATGTCCAGGAAACTGCAAAGCACTCAGCAGAGCTTAATGTGTATAGGACATGAGTCTGGAGTGGCTGGCTATATACAGGAAGCCAAGGAATTTGGCTGCTATTGTTTACATAAATTGCATTTATTAGAGTCAAAAAATATAGGGCCGTAGTGGCTTACCCCTGTAATCCTTGCACTCCAGGATGCTGAGGCAGATGGATTGCCCTGAGTTCAGAGGTTCCAGAGCCTCTCAGCAAGAGCAAGACCCTGTCTCTAAAAATAGCTAGGGGTTGTGGTGGGGGCCTGTAGTCCCAGCTACTTGGGAAGCTGAGGCAAGAGAATTGCTTAAGTCCAAGAGTTGGAGGTTGCTTTGAGCTATGACACCACAGCATTCTACCAAGGGTGACCAAGTGAGACTCTGTCTCAAAAAAAAAAAAGTCAAAGTATAGAAATAAGAAAATCTTCATCTAAAAAGCCTATCAATTTGGGCACTTAAGATTCTAAAACACAAGGTGTTAACTAATTTCTCCAGCACTCAAATTAAGGTAGAAACTATATCCTGTCAGGTAGTCAGGTGTTAAAAAGAGTAACTGGAATAATTGCATGTGTGATTTTTTTTAAATATGGTTTTATCTCAGAGGTAAAAGGGACAAATAGAAGTGTCATTGCTGATATGTTGTTTTATTAATGTGACAGTAAAATCAACTTATTTGTAGGGGCCAAAAGTGTAGTGGGGGCAAAGTCCACTCACATCCCATTTACGTTTCTTACTGAGCGAAATGACCTTGGATAAGTTACTTTGTTTCCCAGGACTTGTTTTCCCAGCTGTGAAATGGAGATCATAACCCTCCCTTCTTCATGGGAACGGGTGAGCCAATAAAATAACCCTAGTTATTAAGTTCTTAGAATAACACCTGGTACAGTGATGTACACTGAGATTCTTTATGCTACTTTGTTTTGGTCTTTCCCCCAGGGTTATGGGGCACTGAAAGATATCGTGATCAATGCAAACCCGGCCTCCCCTCCACTTTCCCTGCTTGTGCTGCACAGGCTTCTGTGTGACCACTATAGGGTCCTGTCCACTGTGCATACACATTCATCAGTCAAGAACGTGCCTGAAAACCTTCTCAAGTGCTTTGGAGAACAGACTAAAAAACAGCCCCGTCATGAATATCAGCTGGGTTTTACTCTCATTTGGAAGAATGGTAAGTAGAGAGAAATGAGTTCAACTTATAAGCAGTTGACCCTTGAACAACATAGGTTTGAACTGCATAGGTTCACTTTTATGCAGATTTTAAAAAATAAATATATTGGAAAAACTTTTGGAGATTTGCAACAATTTGAAAACTGCATAGCCTAGGAATACCAAAAAATTAAGAAGTTATGTCGGCTTGGCGCCTGTGGCTCAAGCGGCTAAGGCGCCAGCCACATACACCTAAGGTGGCGGGTTCGAATCCCCAGCCCGGGCCTGCCAAACAACAATAATGGCTGCAACCAAAAAATGGCCAGGCACTGTGGCGGGCGCCTGTAGTCCCAGCTATTGGGAGGCTGAGGCAGGAGACTCGCTTGAGCCCAGGAGTTGGAGGTTGCTGTGAGCATGATGCCATGGCACTCTACCCAGGGGGATAGCTTGAGGCTCCATCAAAAAAAAAAAAAAAAGAAGTTATGTCATAAATACATAAAATATATGTAGATACTACTCTGTCATTTCCTTCCATAAAATATACACACATATAAGTTAATGTATTAAAAACTTAGTTACCATACATGTACCATCTTTAGTCAGAAGAAATTCAAACAAATGTAAAAATACAGTGTCAAGTCCTAACTCCATAAAACTATAGACATACTGTACTACTATAATAGTGCCTCTGGTTGCCGTTGTGGTTGAGTTCAAGTATTGCAAGTATCTGCTTACGGTGGGATGCTCATCTCTGCATGAGCAGTTCATCCATTCTGGTAAACTGCATATTGCAGTAAAAAGTGATCTCTTGAGGTCCTTGAGTATTTTTCATCATGTTTAGTACAATACTGTAAACCTTGGGTAACATCATGAGACACATACTAAGTGCCACTAGTGATGCTGGAAACGTTCCCAAGAAGCAAAATCATATTACAAGAAAAAGTTGAATTGCTTGCTATGTACCAAAGATTAGGGTTTGTATCTGTGCTTGCCCCCCATTTGAAGATAATGAATCCAGTGTAAAGACCATTGTTAATTTTAAAAAAAGTCTTGATGAGCACAAAAATCTTGCACTTAGTGTGAAATACTATTTTATATTGAACAGAGTTTCATGGATGCAGGATTGATATAAGGCATACCTAGGCTGGGCGAGGTGGCTCACACCAATAGTTCTAGCACTCTGGGAGACCGAGGTGGGCAGATTGCCTGCACTTACAGGTTCAGACCAGCCTGAGCCAGAGTGAGACCTCGTCTCTAAAAATAGCCAGGCGTTGTGGCAGGCACCTGTAGTCCCAGCTACCTGGGAGGCTGAGGCAAGAGAATTGTTTGAACCCAAGACTTTGAGGTTGCTGTGAGCTATGACGCCAGCCATGACACTCCACCAAGGGCAACAAAGTGTGACTCTGTCTCAAAAAATAAAGAGTGAGGCTTGGCGCCTGTAGCTCAAGCAGCTAAGGTCCCAGCCACATACACCTGAACTGGCGGGTTCCAATCCAGTCTGGGCCTGCCAAACAACAATGACAGCTGTACCAAAAAATAGCCAGGCATTGTGGCAGGCGCCTATAGTCCCAGCTACTTGGGAGGCAGAGGCAGGAGAATTGCTTGAGCCCAGGAGGTAGAGGTTGCTGTGAGCTGTGATGCCATGTCATTCTATCCAGAGCACAATAGCTTCCAGCTCTGTCTCAAAAAAAAATAAATAAAATGAAGAGAGAGAAGGAGGGAGGGTGGGGAAGGGAAGGAAGGAAGGGAATACCTAGAGGTTCTAACATGACTTGAGAAAAACTAAAGTCATTATATGATAACACAAAGCAAGAGGAAGGTGAAGGATCTGAAGCTGGAGAATATGCCAGCAAAGGGTGGTTTTCTAATTTTGAGTTTTAGCTTAAAAAATGTCAAGATAGGCCAGACACATTGTTTCCAGTCCTTCCAGTTCCTTGAGCAACAGGAGTTGGAGTAGATGGTTTGCCATCCCTTCTAGCTTGAAAATTGTCATAAATACCAGGAATGGTTACTTGGTTACTTTTTAACATACAGTTTGCATTTAAACCCTTTTGAATATTAAATCTTTTGGAGACAGACTATAAATATGACATGACATTCTTCTTCAAAATACACTTTCCCCTATTATCAGTTCACAATTTTTAGTGACTTTCCCTTTCCATGTTGTATAAATAATTCCTTCAGGGCTACTGTTGATGCTACATGGTGTGTTTTCTTTACAGTGCCGAAGACACAGATGAAATTCAGTGTCCAGACGATGTGCCCCATTGAAGGAGAAGGGAACATTGCACGTTTCTTGTTCTCTCTGTTTGGCCAAAAGCATAATGCTATAAATTCGACCCTAATAGATAGCTGGGTAGACATTGCTATTTTTCAGTTAAAAGAGGGAAGCAGTAAAGAAAAAGCTGCTGTTTTTCGTTCCATGAACTCTGCTCTTGGGAAGAGCCCTTGGCTAGCTGGGAATGAACTCACTGTGGCAGATGTCGTGCTTTGGTCTGTGCTTCAGCAGACTGGAAGCTGCAGTGCGACAGTGCCAGCCAACGTGCAGAGGTGGATGCGGTCTTGTGAAAACCTGGCTCCTTTTAACACTGCCCTAAAGTTCCTTAAAAGTGAATTTTAGTAATAGTTTTTTAATGGTTTAGATTTTTAAAATGGTGCTCTTTCATGCCTGTTGTCAGTAAAGAGACTTGTATTAGAATCAAAGTCTTTTTATTTAGGCCAATTGTCAAGTATCAATAAAAGCATCATGTAATTTGCGGTTTTCATTTCATTTAAAATTCACCAAAAATCACGTCCAACTTACCATGACAACTGCCAACTATGGGAGGTACTTTCTGGGATTCAAAAATGAATATATCAGGTTGTTGCCTTTAAGGGATATACAGATTGAGGGGTTTAGTGCTGTAATAAAAGAAAGGACCATGGGAAGAGGGCAAAGGCAAGAAAGATAGTATCTGTGTGCTGAGCTCATTTAGGGGCAAAATGTACAAAGCTTTGTTAGGCACATAGCTTTGGAATGATGCTGAGTTGAAGGGGTGAACAGACAAAAAGAGTGGAGGTTGTACACTGGGCTGAGGCATTGAGCTTTATCTTACAGGCAGCAAAGAGCAAGCAAAAGGTTTTGAGCCCAGAAATGAACTGGTAATCAACCTCAACCTCCACAACAGTGTGAGGGGGCTGGGAAGACTGGTGCTGTCCACACTGAACAGTCTAGTCAGTGTGCAGGCCTGCGCTTAGGCAGTGAGGATGGGGCACACACCATTCTGCAGTAGAACCTTCTAAAGAGGGATTACAGGGTCAATAGGTAGTTTAAAGGAGAAAGAATTGAGGGTATCTTTAAGTTTCAGAGACTGGGTGTATACTTAAGTAGGATAATCAATAACAGAAGAGGGAAGGAACACTAGGTTTAATTCAGAGCAGTCTTAAGTTCAAGATGCTGGGTCATGAAAAAGCTATCTAAGGAAAAACCATCTTTAATAAGTCTTATATAGCCTTATTAAATATAACTAAGAGCCAGACCATCTATACCCTAATAAAGGTTGAAAATGTACATTCCAGTTAACTATTTTTTAAGGCTAGACTGGTACACCTCCATCTTTCATGCTATCCTTCAGCCCTTTGTCCTGAGAAAGGAGTTTTAACTGCTTTTTTAGTTCTTCAATTTCTTTTTCTTGTTCTATTATCTTCATCTGTAGGGTGAGATTAACCTGTAAAAAGAAAATTTTAAGCTCCATTAAAATGACTACTTTCCTTTAAAATATATAGGCATGTGAGTTTATCATTACAGTTGAGTTAAATAATATTAGTCACCCAATGGCATGGTTCAGAAGTGTCAGAGACCACAGAGTATTAACTGTAACTCTTCGGTTCCCCTCAAACACTATGTAAATAACCTGTATATCATGAACAGGGATGAATCACTTTCAAGGTCTGTTGGAGAGTGGTCGTCGTAATACTGTTCATTCACAATAAAGTGTGTAGTTGTGTTGCTGCATCATCTAGAAGAGCAGGCTGGAATAGGAATGTTGACACTATAAAGGGTCGACATTCTCCTGCTGCAGCCACAGGCACCAACTAAAAGCAGCTTCTCAACACAAAGGGATAAAGATGCCCCCAGAGAATGTGACACCCTCGAAAAACCACATTAAAAGAACTCAGGCCAGGCATGATGGTTCACACCTATAATCCCAGCACTCAAGAAGACCCAGGCAGGAGTTTGAGACCAGCCTGATCAAAAGCGAGACACCATCTCTATTAAAAAAGAAAAACTAGCCAGGTGTGGTGGTATACGCCTATAGTCCCAGCTACTTAGGAGGCTGAGGTAAGGGGATAGCCTGAGCCCAAGAGTTTGAGGTTGTGGTGAGCTGTGACACCATGGCACTCTACCAAGGGTGACACAGGGTAAGACTTTCTCAAAAAGAAAACTGAGATATTTCATAACACTGAAAGTAAAAAGGATAAAATGTCAGAAGCTGATCCAAACTTAAGGAGTATGACATTTTGCCAGGGCAAGAAAAGATGCATACTCTGACATATGAGATAAAGGCAGTCACTGGTCAAACCAGGCGTCCTCAAACTATGGCCTGCAGGCCACATGCAGCCCGCCTAGGACATTTATCCAGCCTGCTGGGTGTTTTTGCTGCAGCTGCCTGTCCTGCTTAGCAGCCAACTCGTCCCAGGCCCTGCAGTTCAGCCCTCCAACAGTCTGAGGGACAGTGAACTGGCGCCCTGTTTAAAAAGTTTGAGGACCTCTGGTTCAAAACGTTGAGACATGACCTTTTTTTGGGGGGGGGGGCAGAGTCTCACTAACTCAAAACTCTTGGGCTCAATCAATTCTCTTGCCTCAGCCTCCCAAGTAGCTGAGACTACAGGTGCCTGCCACAATGCCCAGCCATTTTTTGGTTGTAGTTGTCATTGCTGTTTGGCAGGCCCAGGCTGGGTTCAAACCCACCAGCTCTGATGTATGTGGCTGGTGCCCTAGCCACTGAGCTATAGGTGCCAAGCCTGAGACACGACTTTTTAATATTTCTTTAATATTTTAAGTTACAACATTAGTTTCATCAACATTAGTTCTATGATTTTTTAAAATCTCTGCATACATTTTTAACAGTAAAAGTTTAATGTTCATTTTTTTTTTTAAGAAGTAGATTTATTTATTTATTTTTGTTGTTGTTGCAGTTTTTGGCTGAGGCTGTGTTTGAACCCACCACTTCTAGTATATGGGGCCAGCACCCTATTCCTTGAGCCACAGGCACCACCCAAGAGTTTAATGTTCTGACAAATTTTAAGTCACAGAGCTATCATAACTTCTCAATTAACTTTGCATGACTTGAGCTTTGCTATGTCATTTTTTATTTGTATCTATCTTATTTTTTAAGATGGGGGTCTAACTCTTATATCATTAAGATGGAGTGCAGAGGTATGATCATAGCTCCCTGGAGCCTCAAATTCCTTGGCTCAAGCAATCATTCTGACTCACCCTTCCAGCACAGACTATGCCACCAAGCCAGCCTATCTTTGGTAGGTCAATTTTTAACAGTCCTATGCTACCATGTAAAGCAGTGGTTCTCAATCTTCCTAATGCTGCAGCCCTTTAATACGGTTCCTGTGGGTTGCGACCCACACGTTGAGAACCGCTGATGTAAAGCAAGGAGTGCCTGTATATACAAGTCCTTGTCTGTATAGGTTACTTTTTTTATAAAAAATAATTTTATAATTTTTTGGCTCAGTGCCTATAGCTCAGCAGCTAGGGCAACAGCCACATACACCAGAGCTGGCAGGTTTGAACCCAGCCTGGGCTTGCCAAACAATGACAATTACAACAAAAAAATAGCTAGGCATTGTGGCAGGTGCCTGTAGTTCCAGCTACTTAGGAGGCTGAGGCAAGAGAATCGCTTAAGCGAAAGAGTTTGAGGTTGTTGTAAGCTGTGATGCCATGGCACTCTATGGAGGGTGACAAAGTGAGACTCTGCTCAAAAAAAAATAATAATTTTACATTTTTTTTATGAAAAACAATTTTATAGAAATCCTTACCATAGACAAGTAACTATGGTCTCTAATATTAATCTTAACTGAGTGTTAGAAAATCTCCCCCATACATAAAAACAATGCTCATGCTTGGTTTTAAGAACCACATCTGTTATTTTAAGCACTTTCTAAAAGAAAATAGTACTACACCTACCTGTTTGCATTTAAGCTAATAAAATTCACTATTTCACTTAATAATTAAGCCTTAAATAGAAAATAAGTCAGTTGATTTTTTTAAACAGTCACTACAAGTTGTTTCCAACTAGAATCACTTCAAAGGTTTGTTGAAGTACAGGCTGCTGCATCTTCTCCCAAAACTCTTTTTAGTAGGATGGGGGACCAGAAGGCCTGAGAATTCTATCAAGTTCTAGAGCAGGGGTCCTCAAACTTTTTAAACAGGGGGACAGTTCACTGTCCCTAGGACCACTGGAGGGCCAGACTGTGGGCCCCGGGACAAGTCGGCTGCTAAACAGGCCAGCCAGCAGCGGCAAAAACACCTGGCGGGCCGGATAAATGTCCTAGGCAGGCTGCATGTGGCCCACGGGCTGTAGTTTGAGGACAGCTGTTCTAGAGACTACACTTTTGCAAACTACTGCATTTAAGCAATGCTGTTCCAACACTAGATGTAAATCACCTGAGGATTTAGTTAAAACTCAGATTTTGACTCAGTATGTCAGGGGTGCAACTCACAGGTAATGCTGATGCAGCTAGAGCAAGGGAAAATCTGTTAACATATCTTTTTTTTTTTTTTCTTTGAGACACAGTCTCACTTTGTTGCCTCTGGTAGAGTGCCGTGATATCATGGCTTGTGGCAACCTCAAACTCTTGGGCTCAAGCAATCCTCTTGCCTCAGCCTCTCAAGTCGCTGGAGTACACCCACCACAATGCCTAGACTATTTTTAGACAAGGGGTCTTGTCTCTTGCTGATCTCAAATTCCTGAGCTCAAGCAATCCACCTGCCTCAGTCTCTCAGACTGCTAGGATTATAGAGGTGTGAGCCACTGCGCCTGGCTGTGAATGTATCTTTGAATAAAGCTTTTATTAAATCCTAAAAAGTTCCTAGAGGAAATAGAATGGATGAATCACCTAAGTATATGCAGATTAGAGACTGTACCTGGCACTATAACAACATGACAGGAAGGAGGATGGGAATGGCTGCCCTGGGCAATGCCACATCATAGAATCAAAACCTACAAACACACAGCTAAGAGCTCTTAGATTGACTAAAGCTGTCTCTGTCATCACTGTTCCAACTCCCTCTTAGAATTACTGCTCTTCACAAGTTGGTAACTTCTATGAAATTTATAAAAAGTTTATACACCATACTTGGAAAAGAATAATAAAAACCTTTTCACTGAGTTAGCAAGATGAGACTAGAAAGTGAAGTTCCTAATTATTAGAGTAGAGAGCTGGCTTGAATCCATTTCCTTACATGGACTATGAATATAGATGTGTGTATATAGGTACTAAACTTAGTCCTTGATACACTATTAGGGAACTCTGAGAATGGGTTTAAATATTTAGTTTCAATAAATCTTAGCCTAAATTCAACTATTCTCTGTGAAACAGGAATCACAATTTAAACAAATTGTATTGTAAGCTTCCTATTTTCCCCAGCATTAAAAAAAAATTTACAGATACCATATCTGTGGGTAGCAGCTGTAGCCAGACCCAAGCCAGGCCATCGATGCTATTCACCTGGTGGTCTCAATGATAGCATGCAGCTACAGCCCAGGGACTAGAGCATCACCCCTGGCAGTACACTCTGCAGCACCACTTTGGGAGGTACCAGGATCATCTATAACTAGAAATTCCTGAAGGAGTGTCGGAACTCACCTGTGACCAAAACACCCCTGAGGGACCTGTCAACCACACCTGAGGTCACCAGCCCTTCCAGGGATGAGCCCCCTACAGAAGCCAGCATGGCCAGCCCAGAAGATAAGTGGGGAGGTGATAAAGAGTCACAGTTTGAGAAAGAATTTCAAGGACCAGCCACAGGATGGATCATTGCCTATGGGTCCCCCTGGCCCTTCTCAGGAGATGAGTCATACCTGCCAGGCTTTATGAAAGTTATACAAACAGGCATGGTGGCTCACGCCTATAATCCTAGCACGTGTGGGAGGCCAAGGCAGGTGGACTTGTTGACCTCAGGAGTTCAAGACCAAGACCATGTCTCCATGGTCTTGAAAATAGAAAAACTAGCCAGGTATTGTGGCAGGTGCCTGTAGTACCAGCAACTCAAGAGGCTGAGGCAAGAGGATTACTTGAGCTCAAGAGTTTGAGGTTGCTGTGAGCTATGACACCATAGCACTCTACCCAGGGTGGCAGAGTAAGACTCTGTCTCAAAAAAAGAAAGAAAGGAGGGGAGAGGATAGAGGGAGAAGGGAGAAGGGGAGGAATGCTGAAGGACTCGGCTATCTGAAGTTAATTATATGGAGCAAGTATGTGGTATAGGGTCAGTTACTCTAGCCCTCTGCCCCCTTTCTCAGGGCACCTTCCTTCTCTTCATTGTGAACACCAGCAGATAACCTCCTGCGTCTCTGCTGATGCAGGAGCTGCCACCCCAAGGGGAGTGGATCCCATGAGTACACCCTGCAGGTAGACAAGAACAAAGCCCTTCTGGTAGATCTTGGGCTCCTCCAGCCCTCTTCCCTGGGGGTACACTCATCCATTCCTTATGTTGAGGCTGGGGAAGCTCCCCTCCCTCTCCTTCCCCAAGAGAGGAAATAAAAACCACCTAGGGCCAAGAAAAAAAAAATGTACATACATTTCCAGAATTTTGAAAAAGTTCACTTTGCAGTAGCTGAATAGCAGATGGTCTCTGGAATGAGTTCCTTCTAGTTAAGTGCTGGATATACTTGGCTTGTATTGGACACCTTTTACTGAGGGATTCAGGTATCTGACCAGTTCTTAAGCCTGTTAAAACTTCTGCTCGCTCCATTTCTGTTCCAAATGGCTGAAAGAGCTCCAGCAGGATCACACCCAGGCTATACATATCTGACTGGAAAAAGAACAATAAGGGGAATTCACTAGTAAAGTTGGAATAACATTTCTTTTTCTTTTTTTTTTTTTGAGACAGAGCCTCAAGCTGTCCCCCTGGGTAGAGTGCCCATGGCCTCACAGCTCACAGCAACCTCTAACTCCTGGGCTCAAGCGAGTCTCCTGCCTCTACCTCCCAAGTAGCTGGGACCACAGGCACCTGCCACAACACCTGGCTACTTTTTTTGGTTGCAGCCATCATTGTTGTTTGGCACACCCGGGCTGGATTCGAACCCGCCACCTTAGGTGTATGTGGCTGGCGCCTTAGCCACTTGAGCCACAGGCGCCGAACTGGAATATTTCCATTGCAATGTACCATCATCTCAGACAGAAGACTTCTAAGAATGAGGATGTACAAGTGATCTGCAATGCAGGCAACAGAGCAGGATGGTTCATCCTTCAGAGACAGGTGTCCCCCCCGAGCAGAAGGTGAATGAGACCTTCGCAGCCCTGTCTTTTTAACACCAATAGAAGCAGCCATGGGCTTGACCATCAAGTGAAAGGCAGGGATAATCTCCACCACTCACAGCAGTCAGACAATCCAACTGTCTTCGCTACCTGTTGGCCATTAGGCCTGACCCCCAAAAATGTGAGCTCACTCTGGCTAGGGCTAGCTATAGGAAAACTACAGAGTATCCTGGATCATACTTTAATCTCACTTGACCTCTGCCTCCACTTGCAATGAATTAAGCATTCTCGTTAACATTTAACAAACTATATAAAATCTGTGCTATTTTTCCTAAAAATAGTTTTTCTAGGAAGGTCTTAACTAGATAGGATTTTAAGGGCAGCCATTTTTTTTCTGAAAGTTCTTTCCTAATTGCTAAAAAGCTAAATTGTTCATCAAGAGGGAAAATTTATTTCTGTTGTCATTTTGAAGAACGGATTTACTTTAGCAATTCTTCAAGGAAGAGTGAGGGTTAAAACTTCACAGTATCTTCATTCTATTTCTTTTTTTTTTTTTAATAGAGACAGAGTCTCACCTTATTGCCCTCAATAGAGTGCTATGACATCATAGCTCACAGCAACCTCCATCTCCTGGGCTTAGGTGATTCTCTTGCCTCAGCCTCCCAAGTAGCTGGGACTACAGATGCCCGACACAACACCCAGCTATTTTTGTTGTTGTTGTTGCAATCTGGCCAGGGCCGGGTTCAAACCCGCCACCCTTGGTACATGGGGCCGGGGCCATAACCACTAAACCACAGGCACCACCCATCTTCATTCTATTTCAAGAGAGTCAAGTGGCAGACTTATTTAATTAAGCTTGAAAACAGAAGAATAAAAAGAACCTTCCTGAATTCTAGCTCCATGAGATGAAGGGAGACATTTCAAAGGGAAAGATCATTTCAAAAATAATTTGTGACATCCATGGATTGAAAAATAGTACATTGCCTTTAAAATATAGTCAGATTCGGCTCGGCACCTGTGGCTCAAGTGGCTAAGGCGCCAGCCACATACACCTAAGGTGGCAGGTTCTAATCCCCAGCC